TATATATATATATATATATATATATATATATACTGTATATATATATATACTGTATATATATATATTTTTTTTTTTAAAAAACTGCTAAGAATTAAATGCAGCAGGCACCCTTGGGAAGGGGAGAAGCTGAGATCTGAATTTCCTGCAGCACCTTAGAGTTCAAAATTTGTATTTGCCATTTCTTTTTCCTAATGAGGCCAGACACTCGAGCATCAACCACCTGCCAGGTGTCGTCCCTCCCGCTGTCAGTTAAAATTTGTTCAGACTGCTGATGAACTCTGCACCGTTCACCTGTGTCCATACCAACCACTGAAGCTGGAGATGACTGCTCATTTCTGAGTATGGAGCGATTAGTTCATTACAAAGTATGCAGTGCATACAGCAGGGTCCACCTGACGTGATTCCAGTAAACTCAAGGAGCAAAACAAACTGCTTAAACACTTGTACACGCTCTGCTTAGCGCTCGAGCCTAGTGACAATCACCTGCCTTCTACATCAAAGAACAGTTGCCATGACACTCTCTTTAAGGCATAAATGCACTGTGTGTAATGGAGTAAGAGGTTCAAATATATACCGTATATATATATATTTTTTTCTCATTTTTGCCCTTTTGAACAAGGGGGGGGGGGCATTCATTGCAGCATTGCTGTTTGCTTATGTTTCCTCATTTGGGGTCATAGGACTGGAAGGTGACTCAGCATTTGCTGCCTGTAGGGAACTCTCTATAAAAACACAGTGTGTACACATTTTGTCTGTTAAAAAAAGCCTCCCAATAGAAGCCATGGTCTTTTTCTGAGGGGGGGGGGCTACAGGCAGGACTTGTACAGCACGGATGTTCCCCTCTGTCTGTGTTTTCTTGTTTATCTCGTCTTGGTTGAAATGTTACTGCCATGTATTACTTTTTAAAATAATATTGATACTATCATGGAACAGGGGCACTGATACGATGTATTGTGATATTCAATAAAATGAACCAATGCCATGAATTTGCGTGATAATTGTTTAAAGCAACTACTGAATTAACTGCTGCTCTGTACACGACAACAACAAGTCAGTTAAAACTGTAGATAAATGTATATATTTACTATACATTGATCGCAAACTTTAGAATACGTAAGACCATTTTGCGAACATAAAACTGCTCAGGAACAGTAAAAACATTTAAATCAAAGTACTGATTGAACCTAATAAGATCAGTCAATCATGTGTCATTGCTTACAATAGCACAGTGGATTGGATTAGCCTTTGTTGACGAGGATGTGGGAATCGAATGCAGAGGTGCACAATGGCGCGCATGCATGAACTGGCAGGCCATACTGTGAACAAGGTCACAGTATGGCCTCTGAGTGAAAGTGACAGCTTCACAAAGAGGAGGGAGGGTGAGGGAGGTGAGGGGGAGGGTGACAAAAGAGGGGAAAGGTCAGGTGAGAGCCAGAGGGATTACTGGGAAAGCCTTCAAAGAAAATATCCACGCCGGCTGATATCGAACAGGATGGAAACACATATATATATATATAAATATATAAATATATAATATAAATAAATATATTGCATGTAGAAACAAAATCTAAAATTAGACTGTACAACACCTGTTTGCCTCCTGGCTTCCGCATACCTCAGCTCGATCCTAATATATTTTATGGCCTCAATTTTTACATGGATGACACCACATACTACATGAAGGTTCCCAAAATACATTTCACCTTTCCTTCTGGCTCTCCCTCTCCTTTTAGGTCTTATTTAAGCTCTTGCTACTTTGGGGTCATACACGGTATTTAAAGATATCAACTGTCACGATAAGACTTTTTAAACAGATCTTTATTGGGATGACATCAGATGTCCCATGATGCTAGTAAATATGCAGAACAGACTACATAACTGAAGACAGTAAACAGCTACGCCTGTAGGTCACAACTGCCAACTTGACAGATTATTGTGTGCGACAATATTCTCCGACTGTTGTTGCAGCTTTAACACTTGAACTACTTGCTTTGACTGTTGCCCACTTAACATTCTCTTCTTATTTAATACAAGGGGAGTGGTCATTGAAGCTGAGGATAAATATAAAAGAGGATAAAACAGATGCAGACCAGAAATGGCTGGCAGAGGAAGCCAAGACCAAACAAGACCAGGTTTGGGTGTAGGATAGAAGGTCCGAGGGGATGTTAATTTCGTCAACAAATTTTTCCATAGTCTTTGACTAAATTGTACTAACCTTTTTTTTTAATCCCATTTTTCAATAAAACAGATTTAACTTCAGTTAAGTTTTAGGGAGTGACATAATAATAATATTGTTATTACAAATAGATGATTATATTTAGTTAGAGTTGGTCAACTAATATGAAATGTAATGCTATGCATAATAATGTATAATAATCCAACCTGTCATGTTTTGGTCAAAGTCCTGTTGCTGGATTCTTACTGTCTTCTGATTTATCTTTCGTCAACTAAAACTGTCCAAGCAACACAGATTGGATATGATTGGTTTCCAAGTGCGATAACCCCAAACACAGTTATGGTTGTGTAAGGAAGCGCAAAAAACTCCAATCATTATTTTTACCACCACTGACAACCCTAAATATGGGGGTCTTAGGTGATGTATAAAAGACGACACGGTAGCTAACACTGGCTTTGAATCCAAAGGTTAGGTGAAGACAGAGTTGGACAACATTTGTTAACATCCCTTTTGGCCTCTTATCAGTTCATAACATTTCTGTCAGGGTGCAATTTTAGTGATTTAACTTTCTTTACAACTGTTCTGAAAATGTCACGGATGCTTTGGTAAAATAATGTGAACCTGTTGGCGGTGAGTCGTTTGTCTGCATAAACACACTTCAGGACTTTACGGTGCTTTACAGACAAGTTGTCTTCGAGTCTTATTTTTATATTTACTCTGCACCTCACTAAAGAGCAACTGTCAGATCAGCTCCATCCACCAGACTTTCCCCCTCCTCTGTAAACAGGTCACCTAAATGTCAGAGTTTTAAGCATGGTCTGGAAGACAAATGAATTCCACTGCAGCTTGCATCAACAGAGATAATTATAGGCCAATAGACAGAGCTACACAGGCAGCTACACTTTCTCCTGAATGTCCAGGAAAATCATTATAAGAAACACACACTGAAGTTTTCATTTATATAGTAAGTCACTGTGAATTCTTAATGAAGCACAAAAAAAAAACCTTCTTTAGCTGCTGACTCAGGGTATCAAGAGAGAACAACAACAAATAAAATATTTTTTACCTGAAAAAAAGTTGCATTGCATGCTGCACAGCCAACAGCACAATCAATTTTACAACTAAGGCAAAAAAAAAAAAAGAGGCCGAGGTCTGAGGTGTTGGATGTGATGGCAGACCTAATACCTCTGATGCTACAACATAATTATTACACCTTTGTTTGAAATACATCATATGCAGTATATAAAGGACATTAGCTGTGGCTCTAGCCTAGAGCAGCCGTTAGCTTACACCACCATCTAACAGGCCAAATAGAATTAGGGAATTGCTTTGTACAAATGGGAGAATTATTGCCTCTGTGTTTATTCACCAGATGATAGCAACTTTAATTTAATTGCTGTTGTTCCTACTGTTGTTTTGCATCGCTAATGACCAAGTAAATAAAAAACATGCAGGGACTGCGGCCGCTGTTGTTTTGCATCGCTAATGACCAAGTAAAAAAAATGCAGGGACTGCGGCCGCTGCATTGGATTATGGATTCAGGAAGAGACAACTTTCTGTCTAAACGTAGAGACAATCATCTTAATCATGAAGGACAAAACTCACGAGCTTCTGACCTGACGCTGGCCACTGAAAACTGTGGGAATCAATTTGTAACAAAGTCAGGAAGTGCTCTGGCTGACTGGACTAATTCATACAATACAGTGTTTCCGCTAGGCTTTTTTTTTAAAAGTAGCAACGGCAGGAAGCTGTACCCTCACTGTTCCCTCACCTCTACTGTTCCTGCCTGTATATTTCTGTCACCCGTCTTACAAGTTAGTAAAGATATTCATATTTACCATACACAAAAACACAGGCAGAGAGAGAGATAGTAAAGATATTCATATTTACCATACAAATACAAGCACACACAAACACAGGCAGAGAGAGAGGCAGAGAGATACAGTATGCAGGCTTCATCAAACTTAATTATACTTCCTCCAGGTGTGTACTATGGTAACCAGTGTTTCCTCTTATTTGTCAGTGAAGACTATAACTTTGCAAATGTACTTTTGTAAATTTAGACTCATTTAAGTAAAAGTTCAAGTTGATTTCCATGTGATCCTGTCTCAGGTCATTTCCTTATTTTACTTCCATGTGATCCTGTCTCAGGTCATTTCTTTTTTTTTTACACAGACAAGGCACCATTACCAAAATGAAGCTGACTTCAGCAGGGAAAGACGATGAGTTGAGGCCTCAAACCTCACGAGGTGATAAACCTCTGGGTATAATAACCTCACATGTTGTTTATTGATGAATGGAGTGCAGCCCAGAGGGCTGGGACGCTTCAGAATGTTTATTATTAGGGTACAGTAATAGACTCTTATTATCTGCCCTAGTTCTTGAAGTAGTGGTGACAAATAAGATTGTGAAAATGTTTGGGTCATGTATATAGCAGAAATTCTAGGTAAAACAGTCAACATGGAGGAACATTATCAGTGTTGAGTTTATTTAGATAACAGTTTATGACTTACAATAAACAGCTGCTGTAAAACAATGTAAACTGTCACAGTTATGTGTCCGATAGTACAACACCAAAAGACAATTAACACTTTTCTGAGACATGCAGAAAAATAAATAAGCACAAGTAGTCTTATTGTATAATTTAGCTTTTCCTTCTCCAACTACTGTGACCTATTTCTCTCACCTTCCCCCGTCTAACTCCTTCTCTAACCCTCGGTCTCTCCACCACTGACTCCCCCATCAGGCAGCACAGGCTAAGAGAGAGCAACTAGTTGAATTATTGACAGCATAAAACGCGGCAGCTAATGGATCCTGAATAAACACACCGACTTTCTGCAGCTTCCTCTCCCACTTCAGGGCATCAGGTTGAATATGCAGTAACCAGAGGCCAGTGTATAATTTTGACAGACAAGTTTAATACGGTGGACGTCTCAGTCTTGTCCATCGCTACAAGACTGAGACGCCAATTTGTTGAGCTTGAATTTAATCAATAGAACTGTTTTATTTATGGTTATAAATAATATTTTGAATATTAACATTATTTTAGGTCACAAAGTGTAAAATAGACTTAGTCAAGTGCTTAAAAGTTTGTTGTGTATAATTTTGACTAAACTGTTTTTTGGGGAATCTTTGGGCGAACTCACACCAGAGGCCAGTATCTCGTGCTGTGTTAGAGCACCATTTGCAACCCCCCCCCCCCCCCCCCGAATTGTTTTGTTCATGCTACTCCAGTGACCATAACATCTTCTTTTCATTCCCAGCTTCATACCATCTTCTTTTCATTCTACCTCCAGACAAAACATTCGCTCTGATCGGATCTCTGTTCAGATATTTTAGTTTCCATAAACATTACAGCAGCAGACAGGAAGAGATGCGCGATGTAAAACTTCAGTCTGCGAGATAAAGACGAAGGTCTTTTTTTTAACATAGTAGGAAAAAAAAACGTTTTTCTGACATATTTACACTGTAACACAGCTCCAATTCCTAGTAGTAAGTCCACTATGCAAAAATGGAAAACGAGTAAACAAACAAAATTTGATCTAAATGTTTCCACTTTGAAGCCTTGGAGATCAGTGAACTGGGTTGAAGTTTTTTTTAATTTTTTTTTTAAATTTTAAAATTAGGTTTACCGTAATTTCTGGACTATTGAGCGCACCTGAAGTGACAGACACAGAAACAGGGAAGTTGGGGTCATTATCAGCCACACCGACCACAAAAACCCAGAAAGGGCACACACAACCAGAGCGACTGTAATGAAGTGCATTACTGTGTAGAAATACACCTTAGGTCAGAGAGTACTTGTGAGTCAACCATCAGGTCACTGAATATGTATAGACACACATTATCCTCTCATGTCTCTCATGTCTCACTGGGTCCAGAAATAGTCCTAGCCCTAAGTTCAGCACTACAGTGTACTTTCCACTGCACAGCGTCTATCAAAAGGCCATATCAGGTGTTGGAATGCAGCCACTCAGACTTGACAGGGCGTCTGTGAGGTCACATGTCTACAAGGCCCGTGGTGTTTTTTGTGACAAGGTCCCATTCCACCGGTGAGCATATGATCCAATTTGATAAGGTAGGTAATAAATATTTAAGGGACATTAAAGACATTAGCACAGGGGACATGGTTCCTCACATGATACAAATCAGGACACGAGTTGGGGGTGCTAGGACTTACCTTCTTCTTGTCTCTCATTGAACTCTTGCCTCGCACCATGATTTTGCACCCCGTCTCTGCTTCTAGCTGTTTGGCTGTGAGACCGCGAGGCCCGAGGATTCTCCCCACAAAGTTGTACTGTAGAGACAAAGAGGGCGGAAAACAGTCAGTCTGAGTTTATGACACATTCATGACACATTTTAGTGGTTCTTTGACAGAAAATGTCCAAAACCCTCATTGACGAGACCAGAATAGTAAGGTCAAAACTTGGCTGTGATTATTCCAATCGTCCAACGCCTGTTGCAGTAAACTATTAAAATATTACTGGAGTTGTGAATGCAGCCAGAGAAGAAAAGGTGAAATCGGATTGATATTGGTTTTTAAAGATTATTGTAGAAAGATTACTGAGTATTGGACATTAAAGGTTGACATCAAATAAAACCAGTTGAACTTTGATTGAAGTTAAAAAAAAAATCACATTTAAATTAGACTACACTGCTACATATAATGTGTTTGGACTGGAGTGCGTCATATTCTCAGGGGGAGCTGAGCTGAAGTTACCAAAGGACAGAGATAATCTTAAACCTGTAAAAAGCAGCTGATTTTTGTTCCCTACAACTTGCAGTAAAATGCTGATTGGTGGATCTAAAATCTTTCAGTTTTGCTTCGTTAACAAAGACAAGGGGAGGGGGGTAAAAAAAAAAGATAAGGTTTACACTGAAGAAAGTTAAAAATAGTTGTTTAGTTGACCAATCATTCAAGCCAAAGTTACTTCATCACATACAGCCGCTCCAGCCTCCGCCCTGTTTTCTTACATGCTTTGATGCCACAATCTTCAATGGCTGTCTTTTAATGCCACGTCTGGCAGCTACTGCACTGAAGAGAAAAGCAGGCTTAGACCTGTTCCAGTTCACCAACTCGTCTGACACCGGTGCCGCTGAACCACTTCCACATTACCTTTCTACAACTCGTGAGTGTCTGTACCCCGCCCTGCCAGATCGTTCCACAACATCAACACTAGTGAGAACAGCTGAGAACTGCAGCCTTGTCACTGGGACTTTCCAACATTCGGAGAAAGACAAACGCTGGCACCAGGGAGACATGGGGGATCACAGCATGTGGCTACATTTAGGCTCACAGTGCTTCTTCAGTATGACAACGTTACTGTCTCATTGGGACATGTATATGAGGGGAAGAAAACGTCACAGTCTACATTGACATAACGCTGCACTAACTTCTGTCCTGAGAGGTAGACCAACGTATATGTGCACGCTAGCCTGAGTTCTGAGTTGAATGTAAACACACGTGCGAACTTGAGCAACACAGCCGAGCCTGAAGGGCCGCAGCACAGGGTTGTCTGCATCCATCACAGAGCTGCAGCAGACAGGGCTGGGCATATTGGTGGCACAGTGGTACTCACAATCACACACACACACACACACACACACATATGCACATGCATAGCCTCCAGCCCATTAACTGGAGACTGCAGTGACAACATCCAGGGTGTTGTTATTCAGCCTCCCTCCAGTTCTGTGCTAGCACATTTTGAAGGGTGCTTGCCTTCCTTTGGCAACACACAAAAGTTACACCTACAACGTGTAAAAAGTTTCTATATTTATGTGTTGGCTTCGCTACTGACGAGACAGGAGACGGTTCCCACCTGTCTGGCAGGTTACAGCCGCTACTGTCCCATCAGGTCCATCAGTCTAAATCCCATCAGCAACCAGGCCCATGAATGTATTAAACACATACAATAGATACATTACAGATCCAGGCCTCTGATGTCAGAATGAGTATAATGCGGGAAAGAGCATGTCTGTGTCTAAATCTGAGGTGGGAGCCAGAAGAGCCTTTAATATTTGATTCTGTGGTCTTCTCAACATGCTGCTAATACCACTCCCCGTCTGACAGGGTGAGGATTCTCTGTGGAGATGAATATGCTGATGACAATTGCACTTGACAGTGAACAGGGGCCTAATGGAAGCAAGCTTAGTGAAATACTAAGAGAGGAGGTTAGAGAGATGATGACACAAGAGCCCTCCCACAGAGCAGGAGCTTGGTGGTGGAGGCGGGTGAACCGCTGTCAAATGGCTTTTAATAATGGCACGGCACGTGCACATAAACTGTAAATGTGGGCAGAGGAACGGCACAGAGCTTCTACACACAAGTTTGACTCACAGACGTGAGTAAACAAATTGTAGAGCGTGGTGAGTGTCAAGTTTCAATGGGGTTTCCTTTAAGAACCAACACGATCTTTTTTTTTTTGTTAGTCTGAAGTTTATAACCAAATGAACTGGACCTCCATGAACAGGATTTTGATTCGCTAGTTTGTACTGGTAGATTGTAGAGGGAAAAGACTTAAATCCAAATACTCTCAGTAATGGTAAATAGAGTTATTTTATTACACCAAGGGGCAACATAGGCAGGCAATAAAAATCAAAGTTTATCAAAAAAGAAGAGCTGAAATCCACATACGTCAACTGTCCTTGTTTCTTCTTAATCTTATACCGCAGGCAATGATCTCCATTTATAACTTCTAGAACTCCTTCTCATTTCTTTTATGACTTACTTATGTTTTTGTTCATCTGTCGCTTTAACCTTTTAACTCTCAACACGTTTGTAAAGTGACATAAAAAGTCAAAACCAGAGGGACTTTCAGGGACATCATGGCCACTCATGATTCGACAGTATACAGTGTATACTGTATACAGTAAATATATATACACGAGGGGGAGAAGAATGATCCGTCCACATGCTGTATTCACTGGCTAAACAGACCGCCGCCATTTTAAGCACCCAAAAATGAAGTCCAAACCCAGCACTACCCCCCAGTGAATGTATTGTTTAACAACTATGACAAACATTTAGCAGGTGTGGGATCGTATGGTCACTGAGGTTTGAAGTTTCCATATGAAAAGGGAGTACAAATACAACGTAAGGGGTCAGATAATTAAAACTATTCACAAAAAAACAAGAATTTTCCAGAACAACGGTGGATGAATCGCTAACGTCTCTTAATGATGAACTGCAGCTGGCCATGCCATTAAACAAATCTTTCTTTTAGGCACACACTCGGTCTAACCCAGGGGAACTTTGCAGAAACTATACAACATTGCCTTTAATGTCCTTGCAAAATCCTTGCAGTGCATTTTCTGTTTCAAGTTTTTTGTGTGTGTGTATCCTCTCATTGGCTCGGTTGTTCTTCAAAGACGTTTGGGAACTAATGTTTTCGACACTGTTCTGTTTCGGTTACATTTTATCGGAAGAATAACACCACAGGACAAACACATGCAGCCCACTGTATACACTAACAGTTTTTGACAAGACAAACAGTCATAGACAGACAAACATACACTCGAACAAACAAAGTCTTCAGCCCTTCAGGACAAGGGCTTACACTGACATTAAAGGGCTTTTGTTTAGCCCCACTTATCGCCACTCCACAGACGGGTTTTCTTGTTTGCCTATCTCCGCCTGAAACATTGCGTTCATGAGTGCAAGTGAGAGCGAAAACCCCAATACACTGGGTGAACACTTGCGCACAACCCTGGCGCACAGAGCAGATTGTCATGTGGGTTTGGGCGCATTGTGGTTTGTTTTGTTGTGGGAAATACAACAACCCTACCAACAAAGCTCAGAGGGGTGGAAAAATTGTGCCTTTGATGACGTTCATTTGTGGCGCAGCTAGTGAGGAAAGAGGAAATGAGATCATGCTCTGTGGATGCAAACGCACAGGGCTTATCAAAGAGCAGGCCATGGCGAGAGGAGAATACCAATCACTTATTAGCCGACTTGGCTGGGCTTATGGAAATAAGAGCGAGTTTATTCAGTGCAATGGATCATAGCATGGTAGAATGTGCAGGTTCCTGCTCTCAGTTTTTACTAAACCTTTCACTAGACTCACTGTGATCTTACTAGACTGTAAGCATCCCTTAGTGTTCATTGCTTTGCCAATTTCCCAACTCAGTAGCCTCTTAACCGTCCCTGATGACTTCAGCTATTTGACAGTCCCTAACCAGTCTTACAAGTGCAAGAAAAAAAACAATGCCAGATATCATACAAAATATGTACTTTAATTAAAACAGCAGTAGATTACGCTAAAACAGCTACCTAATACAATTCTATTCACTCATTTATCTCGTACTGCCTAATAACTAGTTCTGCAGAAAAGTGAGGTCGCTGGGAGTCTATAGAAGACGAGTGAAGAAGTTTATGAACTTTGGGTGAGGGAAATAAAAAGTCGGAAGAACAAAGAGAGAAAATCTCCTTCCATCTATAACCTTCAGACACTTCTGATATTAAAGGTTTCCCAACAAGTCACTGAGGTTCAATAAACATTTGGTCATTATTCACTGCACACATAAACAAACTCATAACTTAAAGTGCTTCAGGTTGTGGTCCTGACTGTGATCTGTGTTTAAACTATCTGAGTTGGGTTTTTTAACAACACTCCTGTGTACATTTAAGAGTGTGAGCTCCTTCAGTGCCACACGTTTTACTATTTTTAATATATCCTCAGTAGGTTAATGCCAGTGTCTCAGGATACAAAAGTGCCCTCTGAAAGTTTTTAATGCTATTATCTTTTATCCCTGTTCTGTACTGTAATAAATGTGCTTTATGGGAATTTAACCAAGCATTTATCTAACAAAATTAGGCTTTGGTTACAAAAAGGAGGGGCGTGGTCCAGGTGAGGACCCTGAGGCTGTCCTTTCTGTAACCAAAGCTGTAATTAAAGAAATGTGATGCTGTCCAGCCAATCAAACTTGTGCATTCAGAAACATAGAAACACTCAACTGTCAGTATGAAATAGGGCTTTCAAAGGAGATTTCAGGATATTTCCAGAAGCAAACTAAAACACTTGTGTAAATATTGAGCGTCACCATGAGACAGCACAACTCCAAAAACATTATGGGCCATATAAACCCATAATAAATTTAGTTGTTAGATTTAATGATTATACGAAATTGAAAAGTAAACACAGTTCCTATAAAATCATCTTTATTTAATATACCTATATATTTAAACATTTATATCTCTACATTTTTTATAATTTGAATGTTATATATTTTATTTTAATATTCTAAATTCTTAGAAACACTCAACTGTCAGTATGAAATGGGGCTTTCAAAGGAGAG